AGCAGATTTGCACATACCGGCCTCTGCAGAATTGGTAGAGGTCCAGTAAATTTGCTGGACCTCTACAGAATTTTGACCAATTCTGTAGCTATCGATGTGTGTTTTTGACACAATTGAGGATTTTGAGCCTTGGTACGGTAAAATTTACCATACCAAAGCCATTTACCAAGACAATAGGAGATGCTCTCACTTGACCAGGTCTTACGCTACTACAACTCATAGAGCCCGTTTTGGATGGCTTCCAAATGTGAGTTTATTCAATTTCTACAATTGAAATGATGATGTTTAATATTAACATCAATCTTGCTTTAGCATTATCAGCATTGGAGTATTGGTTGAGACCACCCAATACTACAGAGTCCAAACACCCACAATCTAAAGTTTCTGTGAAGCTCTTTGAGATCATAGCTCACGCTGCTGGGGTCAAAAGCCTTTTTCTGGGATGTCCACTCAGAAAACAAAGACTTGCCCACGTATGAACTTCACCACTCTCAAAATGATGTCTCAGATTGAACTGACATAAAAAATCAGAAGAAACCCATGATTATGAAAGGCCTTGTTCTTTTCAAAGAAAAAATCCACGCCCCTAACAAAGACACGCCCAGGCGCACCCCAAATCAAAAACCCACTCCCCCCACATGAATGTCCACACATGAAGGTGTCAGAATGTCTTGGAGGTTTGAGTGATTATGCAGCCCATGCATATCTGTAAGTTTCAGGGAGATGAACCTTCACTGTGATCGTGTGGACAGCTTGACAGCTAGGAATCACCCATAAAATGCCTCTATATATTTCCAAACTGACTCCAAGTAGGAGAGTCTCCTAAGGAGAAGAGCCTCTCAGGCGTCAGGGCAAAATAGATGACTAAACTACTATCTAAAACCATACATCTATGTACACACCTATCCTGTAAGGGTATACCCTTACAATATCCTCCACTCAAACAGAATTGGAGGTCAAACTGATATTGAACTGACATTCAATTGAGATTGGATTGATGTGAATGGAACTAACTGGCCTGCCAGTGACTAGTAAAATGACACTGTGATTGGGTATATGTCTGTTTAGTAAGACGTACTGGGATTGTTACACCTCAAGACAAAAATGGGAAACAAACTGTGGTATTTGATCCAGACAACCAGCCCAAACAACCCACTCTCATCATTGATGATGATGAAGCAAGTGTTGTGGAGGAGATCAGATTGAATATGACCACTCTGCGTGTCCATAATCCAATGTCAATTACCAACCTACTCAACCCTGAACATGAAGATGAAGTTCATAAAAGTTTCACCAACTCTGACCTGCTTCAGGCCACAGATCTTGTAGAAGACAAACATCCAAATGATGCGGATGAGGTCAATTCTCCTCTACATTTTCAACACCAAACACTGGCTTTGATTGACTCAATCAGAATTCTGTCTGAACAAGATGGGAAATCAACTGGTATGGGGTTCATCAATTCATTGAGAGGGGTTTTGAGGGAAATTCATGACAAAAATTAAATTGAGCACAAGCAAGACTCTGTACAAACAACTTTGACTTCATTTTTTGCTCTGAAACCTTAGCCTTGTAGCTACATCTACCTATTTAGCCTACCTCTGAAATCTGATTATTTTGTTTTTGAGCACTGGAGACCAGACTATAGAGGTTACCGGATATCTTGCTGGGAACCACCTTGGTGGACAAAAATCCAATCAGATTTTGGAGGTTACTGGATATCTGAGGACTGGATTTTTGAGGTATGAATGTAGTGCAAATATCTCTATAAGCCCTCAACCTCTAATTTTGGTCTCTCAAGGATTTACACTCAAATTTGGATGTAAATGTTTGGAATATGTTTTGGCAAAACATCATCACCAAAGTTCAGATTTGCACAATATTAACAGCTTCTCCAATTGGCTATCACAGCATCCAGTTCACCAAGTTTTTCAACATACAACCCTCTCTTGATTGACACTGGTGGCCAAAGGCACAACATCATTGGTAAGTTCCACTGGGACAGATGATGGAAAAACACGGGGCCAAAACAATACCCGGACCGCACAATCACTTGTTGTCACTTGTGGGTGGGTGCTGTGTCACATGACTCATACACACAACTGCGGCACAGCCATTCCCACGATGTTCCTTAGAGCATCCGCACTCTTGCGGTAAATTGGGTGCAGTAATGTTAAATTCAACACAAACGTGGGGTCTTTTCTACACCAGTGGGAAATTATCCCTGCAGTTGTTAATTTTTGATCAATCTGTGTTAGCAAACTGGTAATTTTACCAATTGGCTAACACATGTGTTATCACACATCACAACAAGCTGACAGAAATTCCGACTCCAAAAACAAGACTCAACCTGACCACACCTCCTTTTCATGTCCCACACACTATGAACTCCAAGCCTCACAGTCACATGAACTAAATGAAGAACAATCAATGCTGATCAATGTTGTTTCAATCCTCAATTTTTGGTGTGCTTTTAATTAAAATAGGTCAATCAGATATCTTCAGCAGGCTCAACTCACATTTGAGATTCCACATATTGTGGAAGTTGGAAAGTTGGAGCTCAAATCTTGTTCACTTTACAGCTTTACTTAGCTTACACTACACAAAATGTCATCTTTACCAGGCGGTAAAGAAAACTACTGACATAGAAAAGTCCTGAGGCAACAGGAAGAGAGCTAAAAATCTGAAAAAATATGCACCTTGTTCCTAGATGTTGGGGCGTCATGATGAGTTTTTTTTTGTATTTTACACACAGATATTGGTTAATGTACTAACAATAAAGGCTGAGAATCATCAAAAACCCACCTGTAACAATACCTGAAATTTGGCCCTTGACTTTGAAGACAGGATTTTGGAATCTTCAAACATCAATAACTTTTGCAGTTCTGAAACAAATCACTCGGTTTGAAGTGCATTAAAAAGGTGAGCCTTTCCTCTACATTTTTCATTGAGACATCACATCTGTAGCTGGTCTAAAAAAGATCCTACAGAGCTATTCATGTAGAACTGTTTGAACATATGTAGAGTGCTTAAATGACTAGATAGCACCTTACTAACATTATGAAGTGTGAAGGAGAATAGTTCAGCTTTTGAATGAACCAAAAATCGAGTTATTTGGAGCAGAATTGCAAAAGTTATTGAAGTTTTTAGACCACAAAATATTGTCTTCATACTCATGACCCAAATTTCAGGTATTGTTACATGTGAGTTTTTGATGATTTTCAGTGTTTATTGTTAGTACATAAACCAATATCTGCATGTAAAATACAAAAAAATACTCATCATGACGCCCCAACATCTAGGAACAAGGTGCATATCTTTTCAGATTTTTAGCTCTCTTCCTGTTGCCTCAGGACTTTTCTATGTCAGTAGTTTTCTTTACTGCCCGGTAAAGATTACATTTGGTGTAGTGTTAACACAAGCCCTCTCTGTGCGTCTGCTTCCGTGCGCCTCACAGAGGGGCTTGGCACAGAGACTCCAAAGATTAAGTCCTCTTAAGCTGTTTTTTGTTTTTTCCTGTTTTCCTTGCTGATAAACACCAATTTCCCTTGCAGGCAACTTTCTTCAGCATGATGTTGTACATATCCAGGTATGCTCATATCTTAGATATCCTGGGTTATGCGGCCAGGAAAATGGGATGAGAATCTTCACAGAAATGCCCTTTATTGGATTTCAAGTTGCTTTACATTGTGAATACAGGCTGTACAGTGTGGTCCACCCCCTTACACGGCAGACATAAAGCTTGAAAAGAAACCTCAAGAGTTCACAAATGGATAATTTTTCCGGGTTGATCAGTGGTAGAACGCATGTGCAAAATTATTCCAAAGAACTTTGCATGCAAGGCAAAGTGTTGTTTATCAGTCAGGAACGCCGGAAAAGTCAAACAATGACTTCAGAGGACTTAATCCTTGGAGTCTCCATGCCAAGATTTCACGATTAGCTCCAAGCCTCTGCAAGGCGCGCAGATGTGTGACAGTTTTGATGAGTTTAAGTTTTGCTATGCATTTTTGTTTCTTGATATTTGTATGTATGTAGACCACCAGGTCACTATTCCGGTTCTTGAACCGGATTTTGCCCCGGTTGATCTCCGGTTTGTCCCTGACTGGGGAAGAACTTGTTTTGAACAAGTTCCTCCCAACCGTGCTGCAACGGGGGTTTTCCCACGGTTTTTCACCCAGGTTCAAGCGGTGATAAACCCAATGTTGAGCAGAAAATACCCAGTCCTTGAGTTAGGTTGGTCCTGTGCAGTCAAGTGGCTCAGTTTTTTATTGTGGGCGCTCGTATGAGGCACACAAGGAGAGGAGCCCTTGTCCATGCACACGCACTCAAGGAATCTATAAAGATTCCAGCTACCCATTTGGGAATTATATGCCCACCTAAGTGACATAGAGTAATTACCAATTGTGATACGTAAATATCCTGTAGCTGGAATGCTGGAAGTACTCTCGTATTTATACAAGAGTACCTCGTTCCAGAGGAATGTTTCTCCCCTTCTGGTAACCTTCTATTCCTCCTTTGATTCCTTTTAGTTCTTCTTGATTATCATCAACATCAAGTCTTAATAGGCTCTACTAATAATTTTCCTTTAATAATTTTCCTTTAAGAGTTAATTTAAATAAGACCCCTTTAAAGATTCTCATACAATCGCAACCAGACACTGTAAACAAATTCAAACTCAGAATAGTTACACAAACAAGGCTACAACTTGTTACTCTGGAACCCAAGACTGATCTAAAGCTTTATACGCGAAACATCATTATTTATCTTTCATCTAAGCTTGTTATTTAATTGTTCTTTCATATATATTCTTCAATCGTTCTTTAATCTATTCAATCAACCCTTTTCCCTTATCCACATCATCCTTTCTTTACTTCTCCCTGTTCCATTGCTTAAACCTTTATCAATCATCCTTATTCTTTTGGCCCTTTAATTATCGTAAAAAATCTCCTTTCCAATTTACATACCTAATATTTCAAATACTCTTCACTTAACAAGTCAATATGACTTCAACCAGTAAATCAACCAGAAACTCCAAATCCGCGACCAATAGTAAAGGTCCAGCAGATAACAATGTCCAATCTAGTAGTACCAGTCACGACATAGGAGAAAGCGGAATAGTTGAAAGCATGCTCACCAGCGGCCCCAACAATCCAGCAACAACCCAACAACCCAATCCTGGTAGTGCATCTGATTTAAATCCAACAAGCGGGACTACACAATCATCCCAAAGCGTTAACACGCAAAGTCAAAGCGCTGGTACGCATATCTATAGCCCTTTTTACGGGAGACAAAATTCTGAAACGAGACCCACTTCCTCCAATTGTGTAGGGAAATCAAACTCAGATAGTCTGCCAAACCAACCTGACGAGAATAACGCATCAGCAACAACTCCCAATGTGGGTGGTAACGCAGCCACAGAGAAGATTGTACATGATCTAACGACACAATCCACAGGACCCGCGATGACGTCCAAGAGCCCCCGGAAGGCACCTAATGAGGCATCCACTCAACCAAATAGTCTGTCGAAAGGAAGCGCTGCTGAGAAACGGGGAAACAGAGACTTATCAAATGACCAAGGCTACTTGTCCTTATTGTCGAACAAACCCGCAGAAGCAGTCTTTGGTACGTAAAGGCTTCAGACTTATTAGACCAACTCAGAGAAGAAATAGAAAGACCCTAACATACCCGGTTGATTACCATAGGTGGCGCTTCACATCCCAAATCGATCTTACCTGGTCACAGGGCACTCTCATCCTTGGGCGGAACTCAGAGATGTATGTGACTTTATTAAAGCTTACACACATTCAGGTCAAATATGAACTAACATAGAATATACAATAGCTGTAGAGAACTTGACAGAAATCGATCTAAGTGACACAAGTGAAGTCTGGAAAAGAGCCATCGACCTTGCATCAGCTGGGAAAGTCGAAGAAGCAACAATGTATTTTAAACTACATGCTCAACTGCAAACCAGAACAGAGAAGACGACAAACCAGTCCCCTCCAAACCCAACGACGACACACTCTAGTTACGCAGATGCGGTCTCCAACCGATCACAAGCGTCTACGACGATAGTGGTAGAAGGTGGTCTGTCTTTCATCCCAGGTGCTATCACGTCACACACAGATATTGGATTCACCCCGTACTTCGACCAAAACTTGAGAGAACTAAGGGGTCCAATCCCACTAACAATCTTCAACAAGCATTGGCAAGAATTGGCGAATAGCTATCATGTAGAGAAGAGAGTGAAGACCGACAACCTCAACAAAGACCTGACAACTTACACCGGTTACCCCTATCCCCACGAGATGACTCAATCCTACGCTGCGTGGAACATCAACTATCGGAACTTTGTGGCAGTATTAAGAGACGTGTACAAGTTCAAGACTTTCGCCAACTGGGCAGAAGCACACCAAGCCAATGTCAAATTTTACCATGAAAGAGACAACTGGATGACTGCATTGTGATACGATATCAAGATCAGACTCGATGCCTTCGCTTTCAGGGTAACAGAAAACGGAACGACTGTACCTCCCGACATTTCTCAGCGAAGAGAAGACATTGCGGCTATATGCTTTGCAGAAACCAGACGGTTAGACGAAGGTTCCTTCACCAACAACCCTTATGCTAAAGGAGGTGTCAAATTTGGATAAGATTGGACAACCGGATTACCTAGATCCTATGGTAACAACCACAACAACCATGGTAGCACCAGTACCACTTCAGAAAACCAGCAATCTTCGCACTCATCCAACCACCACAACACACACCCTTACGGCGGTTACGGTGGTGGTAATAGAAGGAACAACAACAATAAACAAGAGGGTAATGGAGGAGGTGGTAGGACTAGAGGCGGATACAATGGCAAGAACTTTGACCCAAATTACGCGGCAAAGAAGGCAGCCAACACTAGACCAAACAATCAGGGGAACACCACGTGAGATAGTCTTCCTTATGAGATTTGTTGTCCCTAAGTTCCCCCCTCTTAATTGTCATCCATCAGTTTGTTGTCTCTCGGCATTAATTTAATTTTCTTTCAATACTCTCGTTAATTACAGGTCACTATTGAGTGTCATGTTGTGATATAAACCATACGGATGTTATATGTCCCGTTCCTAGTTTGTAAACCTCGATGATGTCAATGAAAAAGACCAATTTCTTACCTTTGAAACTTTTTTTGCCTTTTTCCGTACTCCTCGCCTACGCAACAGACCATCCAAATTGGGAGATGGTCCTACCTTATCCTTAGAGGTTGTGCAAGGGAAAAGAATATGGTCCATATCCTGTGACAACGACAAACGTCAGTCGAGGACTGAAACACAATGGTTGAGACAACATCCCCTACCCAACCATTAGTCCAATTTCCCACCTAACTGGCCTCGAAGTGTAGTTTGCAAGATGAACATACCTGAATGGGAGAGCGCTTTACGGAGAGCAAAGCTACTACCAGAATATGAAGACGTAATACACGGTTTCATTAACGGGTTTGATCAAGGCATCCCGGACCACATATTAAGAGACCCAAATACGGACAAAAAGTTACCTTTCTTCACACCCCCAAACCACTCGTCTGCAATCCTAGCACCTGAAAAGATCAACAAATCCATCACAGAAGAAGTGAAAGCCGGAAGATTGATAGGACCATTTACGAAGGAACAACTATCAACCTTCTTCCCATTTTTCCGAACAAGCCCCATGGGAGCAGTAGTCAACAACGACAAATCGCTGCGACCAATAAACGATTTATTGTTTCCAAAAAATAATAAGAAGACACCTTCAGTGAATTCTTTTGTAGACGCAAAGAAGTTCAAAACAACTTGGGACGACTTCAAAACAGTCGCCACATTCTTCACTTCATCCAATGAGAAGTGGTTACTTGCGATATTCGACTGGGAAAAGGCTTACCGCCAGATCCCAACGTCAATGTCTCAATGGCCATACCTCTTGGTACTGGACTTAGAAGGACACATCTATCTAGACACACGAATCACATTCGGTGGCGTGGCGGGATGCGGATCCTTTGGCAGACCCGCGGACGCCTGGAAACACATCATGATCTCAGAATTTGATGTATTTAAGGTCTTCCGATGGGTCGACAACAACATGTTCGTCAAGAGGCTGATGTCTTCTACCAACATGGATGAAATTGTTAACAGATCTCAGGAATTGGGAGTATTGATGAACAAAAAGAAGTGCGCTAACTTTGCACACGAACAAAAATTCATTGGATTCTTATGGAATGGTGTAGAAAAAAACCGTTAGATTACCTGAACAGAAATTAGAACAAAGGAAGTCACAGATCCTAGAGTTTTTCAAGGAAGGAACTTTCTCTTACGATCAAGTAGAGGTATTAACGGGCCGTTTGGTGCATGTATCCTACCTCTTACCACAACTTAGATGTTATCTAAATAGTCTACACAGATGGAAAAGTGCGTGGGTTTTCAAATACGCCAAACAACACCTACCTATAGACGTAAGAGAAGACCTCTTATATTGGACAGAAACACTCAAAACCTTCAAAAACTTACGATTGATCCCAATAACACACCCAAAAGAGGTCAACTGGGTAGGAGATGCTTCTACATCATTTAAAATAGGAGTAATTATAGGTGACAAATGGTCACAATTCAAATTGAAAGAAAGATGGGAGACGTCAGGAGTTGTGAAAAGAGGAATTGCCTGGTTGGAAACAGTGGCAATACACATAGGAATACTCATGTTACTCAAACTGAATCGCGGTAGAGGCCAAAATCTTAACATTTGGACTGACAATACAACCTGCAAAGACACCCTCAAGAAAAGGAAATCAAGGGATAGGAGCGTAAACGATGAGTGGAAGGTAATCCAACACATACAGATCAAAGCACAATTAGACATCAACCCGATGAGGGTAAAATCAAATGACAACATTGCAGATGAACTCTTGAGAGGTCTTCCAACAGAACATGAGGAGAAAGACAGGGTCCTAATAGATCTACCCGAAGATCTTACCCATGTAATGGAAATTACGCCTCATAAGGTAAAGAAGAGCGAGATACCAAATCAGTCAGTTTGAAGTAGATAAGGATGAAGGTCGTGGTAAGATTCTACCACAGTCCTTGTTTATGCCCATAATGAATTGATATCTACCTGTCATCTTGTTGTACAAAGAATACCAATTGAGAATACAAGAGTGTTTGAAATATATACTTGACATGTTAAATCGAACAGAAATGGTTGAGTAACAAACCAATGAGTCGGTCATGAGACCAAATCTGACAAAGAGCCCTTGGTAAAAGGAGAAGTGCCACTTTTGTTTCAATAAAGGAGAACCTCTTGTCTCAATCAAACACTTCATATTTAAGAACTTCATACACCGACATAACAATGTCCAGGATGACTCTAACCGCATTTCTATCGGGTAACGGAAATCAACCTCTCACTTCATTACAACTCCACTTGCTAAGTGGATACAAACCAAATACATTTTCAAGCTACAATAGCGCGGTGAAAAAATTCAGAAGATTCTACTTGGAACAACACGGCGTAGAATTCGAACTTCCAGCAACATCAGGCGATATTTATGATTTCTGTGTAACCGTCAGTCGTGCTGAATTCAAAGAATATGAAGGCGAAATATCAGCCAAAACACTATCAAAGTATTTATTCGGATTACAAGCATGGCACCTTTTTCACCGGAAAGAGTATCCTCATACAACAAAGGACACGGTTAAAGTCGTATTGCAAGCTTCGGAATTGGCAGATGCAAAACAACCGCAACGCCCACAGAAACCAGCAGTGATGTTACACCACTTGTTAGCATTATTTAGAACTTTAGAAAACTCATCCCCTCGAGACAAAGCCATTTTGGATTGTGTCATAGTGGCATTTTGGGGCATGGCCCGATTAGCAGAATTAACCTACAAGAAGGCAGACGAACAACCAGAATGGATCAATTCAGTATTGGCAGGAGACGCTGTAAAATTAAAGGATAATACGTCACACATTCTGCTTTTAGTGAGAGGCGCGAAAACGGCAAGACCAGGTGTACATCAACAAATCCTATTAAACGGACAACCCAATTGTTTATGCCCGGTCAAAGATATTTTACAAAGACTATCAATATGTGATCACGCCTCAGACGCACTGTTTAGTTTTAAAGACCAAGAAGGAATACAATCCAATCTCACAAGATCCGCGGTAGTCACCCGTTTTCAACAAATCTGGAGACAACACGGATGGGACTCAATTTCCGGCCACTCCTTTCGAGTTGGAGGAGCGTCGCTGAGGGCGGCGCTGGGCATTTCCCACGACGACATAAAATCCTTAGGCTGTTGGACCTCAGGTTGCTACAAGCTGTACTTACAAGATTACTCTCCCAAAGACATGACTTTAACAAGATCCATTTTGGAAATCCTCAATAACGAGTGAGACGGATAAGCGGTTTAATCTGAAGAGTGGATTAGAGCAGGCTCAGGCTTCTGATGAAACCAAGTTATGGGTGTATTACTAACCCCACCCTTCCGCTTTTCCTTTTGACCGCTTAGTCTTGTCTAGGTGTCGGGACTTTCAGATCCTGATTTCGCATCCTTGAGATCTCGACTTATACACGTTCAGGAACAAGTCAGAGATTCCACAATTGCTCATCATGGATTTGAAAGGACCTCCACCCAAACACTCGTACTACTGTACAAGCGTACACTTAGATAAAATATCAGTTGTAATTGAATACAATATAGTATTAGTTGTGATAAACACAGAAATGAAACTTATTATGCTTAAGGCAATTGTCTTCACTATACTAGCTAAGAGTCAAAGATAATTGAATTGCCTTAGTGATAAGTGAGCAACTACGACAACTATGTATAAAGACATAAGTTGACCCATAAGAGCCTATCAACACATGAGAATTGTTAGAGTGGATTGTATGTATCCTGCAAAATGAGAGCAAAGGTTTATACCAAAGCACATATATTGGTTAAATTGCAAAACTTAGTTGAAGATACATGAATAGACAATACAGAACTGGATGATTCTTTGAATAAATCAGTGAAGAGAAGAAGCAGATGGTTTCAAAGTGGATGGTCAACTGAGAAGCTAGACAATTTGATTGGTTGCTAATGCAAGCTATATGTCTATATGTGATAAAGTCCCGTTTGGAATCTTGATGAGATTTAGATATAGGATGATTAGAGATGTAAATACATAGCACAAGTTGAGTCTGATACACCTGTCGCGCGATTGGTCTGATGAGGAAGATGAACAGGGCTACGGTAATGTATCAAACGGTCGTGAAAGAGTTGAAGAAGCCTCGTTCTTGCTTTTTTTGATCTCACTCAAAGGTGGTGTAACTTGATGTTGAGATTTACAAGGTGAATATAATAGTGTAGTGGTTGTTCAGTAATTCAGCTTCATGATCTGGATCAAAAGGTAAGTGTTGATGAGAGTTGGATCGAGAAGGAGTAGGTGAAGGGTTAGTTGAATGATAACTTGAAGGTAGTTGATTAGATTGAATTGAAGGCTCAGGTGATGAAGAAATCAAAGCATTAGAAAAATGATAAGGAGACGGATAAGTTTAACCAAGTGGATTGATAATCTGTTATGCAGAAGTGAGAATGAAAATGATGAGGTTAGTGAGATGTGAAGTTGAAAAAGGTTATTTGAATTAGACATGGTAATGATGATGATGAAAATGTTATTGAGAAATTGGTGAGGTTCAACTTTTCTTGAACTTTCTTCACTTGATTTGTTTTTGATGATGTTAACCAGATGTCTCGGTTGTTATGACTAATGAAATCACAATGCCATGACTGAAATGTAGCTGTGTTGTTATGTCCTGATTTGTTGCTGTGCTGTCCTGAATTTGTAGATGCTGACCGATTGTTGCGTGTGACATCATTGATATGTTTCTATTCAGATTACGATATGATAACTCGACTCAAGTGTTGCAAAATCATCTCAT